AACGACACGTCAAAATGTGACAGAGAGAGAGAGATTGCGTCAGAAAACCATGACTAGCCGATAATGATGCGGACGCTCATGTCAAATGTGTAGGAAAACCCTAGTTTTCCATTTTCGTCGGGGGCTCTGTAACGAGACATTACGAATACGCGTGTGAGAAAGATAAGTGCCAGGAGCAGAGCACATAAGCAACGAACGAGAAACGTAATTATAATAGATAGCCAGGACAAACTTATGGCGCAATGTTGGGCGCTATTGTAACGTGGGGTACTTTCGCGTTAGGTATCCTCTAGAACCTAAATAAAAGTTATATTATTTATCCGCGAAAGCCACGTCTGCAGGTAGCTCAGATAAGATGCACACACGCTGTGTCATGTGTGCCCACGGAGAGGCGTGGCTCGCTGGTTCCTGCTGAAATGAGAATGGATAGGAAATAGGACTTTGATGGAAGACTGACAATTAGTTCAGATATGTCGAAATATTCTTTTTATTTCGAAAAGCAAGTCTGGTGTACAGTAATAGTCGCTAATAGTAATTACTTACTCGGCACAAATATATCGCGTTCTAAACGATTCCGCCGAATCACTTAGTATACTTTTTATTATTATTGAAAAGAGATAAAAAGAGAGACAAATAAACAGATTCGACATTTACATAGGTACACGGTTTAGCAGGGCCTCGATCTCACACTTGTATTTTACTTCCCTGTTCCTGTGCTACTAGGAAGGACTTCGATGTAACCGCGTTCCCAAAAATCGTTCGTTGCGTAGTGATCATTTCTTATCTCACTCGCGCGCCATCGTGGTGACGCTGTTTCTTTTGCTGAGGAAAACTCGTGCGTTCTCTTTTTTTCTCGCGGCTAGCGTTGACCCTCCACCGATAATCATTTCACGCGTGTCGCCCTCTCTATTACAATTACCTAAATTATGTTTCCCGCTCATTGCTTATGTGCGTAGCTCCTAACACTTATCTTCTTCGCTTGCGTATTTGTAACGCCACGTTACAACTTTTTATATAATCAATATTTCGAGATAAAAATTTGGGAAAAATTTACTTCAATATGTACAACAATTGTGCAACAAATGACAAAAATCCGTGACCTGGTGTTTCTAAGCCTATGGAAATAACCAAGAATCACCTATGTATGAGAAAATATAATTTTTTATTCAGTTAATTATCATTTCTGAAAAAAAACATTTGTAAAAATAGAATATATGAAAACATTTTATTGAATAGTAAAATTTGGAAAATTGCTCAATTGAAATTAATGAGTTTATATTCTATTCTATGACTACATAAAAGGATCATTAATAACAAAGGATTATATATTTCATTTACATTTCACATATTTTATTTACATTACTATTATAATCAATATTTAGAACAGCTTGATTTTACTTTACATTCATGCAAATTAGCACAATGTTGTTTATGACAATATTTCAAAATGGTATTTTTTACATAAGTTTCATAAGCAGCGCTGAATGACGCATCAACATGTACAAAATTATATTTACATTATCTACAAATATTTATAGGTATAAGTATACATCCATGTTTGTCTAAAAGTATGAATCTTGATCAAAATTTAGCAATGATATGATCGTTATGATAAATCGTCATACGGCATTAGTCGAATCTTGGAAAACGTAAATTTACATTTATTCTTTTCGAAGTAAAAATTCGTTCTACTACACTCCTCGCAAAAATTAAGGAAACAAAAAAATTTGTCAAATTTTTGGCTGATTTTTAACAGGCGGTATTTCAGTGAGGAATGGTCGTACAGGAAATAAAAAAATAAAACTCTTGAAGCTTGAAGACTCTAGTTTTTAGTTTTTTTGGTTAAAAATTTTTTGGAGCTCCGTATTTCATGCAATCCTTATACAAAGCGCAAAAAAAATTTTATCCAAATTTTTTACATTTTGTTTCTTACTCTACGGGCATGGAAAAATTTGTTCGAGCTACGCCAATACATAGGTCTTTCAGCCTGTTTATTCAGCTTCACGCTGCTTTTCGCGGAGCTCAATTACGATCATTTGTCTCCGAGATATCGAACTACTGGTCGCACAGCAGGCGGACACCGAATTTCACCATCTGCATAAAATTTCCGATGAAATACAGTCAAACGTTAGTAAAGAGAAAAATTTTTTTCCATCTCTAACATTGAATTGAAAAAAGTGAAAAAAAGTGACATTTTCCCCTTTTTTGGTTACTTGACTGTATCTTCAGTAATATGGGCGGAAACGGTACGGTTAAAGAGAAATTTTACAGTCTAATGTCCCCCAAAGAACCCCCTAAATTTTTGGAGCGATCGGTTCAGCGGTTTTCCCGGACCAATTGATCAAAATTTATAAAAAATTAAAGGAACAAGGTTTTTGTTCCTTAACATGAAGCAAACTTTTTAAAAATCAAAAAATTCCATTTTTTTGTCTGTTTACGCAATTTTATGTCTGTTTACGATTAATTTTGAAAAAAATGGAAAATAAAAATATTTTTTTTCAAAAATAAAAAAAAATGTTTCAAAAATCTGAAAAAACTTTTCAAACAAAAAATTAATAATCGATTAGTCACTCATTTTGATTCATTTAGGTCATGGATACATTCAAGCCTCAATTACGCTTAAAAAAAATTGATTTGAAAAAAATCAAAGTTGATACCCCTAAGGTGTATCCATTACTCGGTCTGTGAAATTCCGCGTGATAAGTCTTCTGTGAAGCCAAAACGCGATAAAAAAAAAAAACAGTTTTTTTTCTAAACTCTTCGACTTTTTAGTAAAAAACCACTCAACAGTTTTTTTCAAAACTAAACTTTTCTTTTCGTAAATTCTAAAGAACTTTTTGACGGCTGCTTGATTCTCGTAAACATTAATTTTTTCCATAATGCCTCCGAGGCTGCATTTATCTGCCCCAGAAGTTGCTCAGCTAGTAATTCTTGTTCAGGAGGGGTATAGGTATCGGCAGGTGTGTGAACGACTTGGTGTTAGTCCCTCGGTAGTGTCTCGTGCCTAATACCGATACCTGGAAACAAATCGATTCGAGCGACGCCCTGGACAAGGCCGACATCGAGAGACGACTCGCCGAGACGATCGAGCAATCATTCGACACGCCCTTCAAGAACCTTTTGCTCCAGCAAACATCATCGCCCAAAACTTCCCCAACCGCCAACATCAACGACAACAACATCAACGACAACAACAACAACAATAACGACAACGACAACAACAAAGACCGCCTCGAAACATTTCTCGAACAACAGTAAGGAATCGCCTTCACGAAGCTGGACTGCGTGCTCGAAATGCTGCTCGTGGGCCGATGTTGACCGCTGCACATCGAAGAGCTCGTTTGCAGTATGCTCGTAACCATGTGAACTGGCCGATGAGAAACTGGAACAATGTTCTTTTCTCAGATGAATCTCGATTTTGTCTATATGGTAACGACAGAAGACCTCGAGTTTGGCGTCGTACAGGAGAACGTTATGCACAACGCTTGATGCGTTCAGTAGCCGCTTACAATGGAGGATCAGTAATGATTTGGGCGGGAGTTTCACGAGAATCTCGAGCTCCTTTGGTTATTGTTCGAGATAACCTCAATGCCAGGCGTTATATTGACCAGATTCTGAGACGTCATGTGTTACCAATATGGAGAAACGCGAGAAGATTCATTCTTATGCTGGATAACGCAAGGCCTCATACGGCGAACATCACTCGTCGATTCTTCGAGAGAAACGACATTCAGTTGTTAAGGCATCCTGCAATGAGTCCTGATCTCAATCCAATTGAGCATGTCTGGGACAGTTTGGGCCGCCGATTGCGTCAGAGTTACCCAAACCTCCGAAATTTAGCTGAATTAGAGATTGCTTTGATAAGAGTTTGGCGTCAGATTCCTCAGCGGATGATCCGCAATTGCATTTCCAATATGCGGCACCGATTGCAAGCTGTGATTCAGAGTAGAGGCAGAAATACTCGATACTAAACACACACACATACACACATACACACACACACACTTTGGAAAGTGAGTTTGGAGTCGTAAAATACTGTGGAGCTGACGAGCCACGGGGTCTCTTCTTTCCAAAAATCACTCGCACACGTGCGTAAGCACAAAAGAAGCATAAATCCGACCAAGCAACCCCCACGTGGTATGCTTTGGATAACGCTAATGCCGGCGGTAAATCGGTCATCAATCGCTAGAGAACAATATTTTATAGTCAGTGGAAACAATTTTTTTTTTTATTTTACAAAAATGTTTTTTTGATTTTTGAAAAAAATGTTTTTTTTTTCAATTTTTTTCAAAATTAATCGTAAACAGACATAAAATTGCGTAAACAGACAAAAAAATGGAATTTTTTGATTTTTAAAAAGTTTGCTTCATGTTAAGGAACAAAAACCTTGTTCCTTTAATTTTTTATAAATTTTGATCAATTGGTCCGGGAAAACCGCTGAATCGATCGCTCCAAAAATTTAGGGGGTTCTTTGGGGGACATTAGACTGTAAAATTTCTCTTTAACCGTACCTTTTTCGCCCATATTACTGAAGATACAGTCAAGTAACCAAAAAAGGGGAAAATGCCACTTTTTTCACTTTTATCAATTCAATGTTAGAGATGGAAAAAATTTTTTCACTTTACTAACGTTTGACTGTATTTTATCGGAAATTTTATGCAGATGATGAAATTCGGTGTCCGCTCGCTGTGCGACCAGTAGTTCCAGAGATATCGCATTTTGGATGCAAAAGGATCCTTTTGCATTCAAAGTTCGATATCTCGGAGATAAATGATCGTAATTGAGCTCCGCGAAAAGTAGCGTGAAGAAGAATAAACAGGTTAAAAGACCTATGTATTGGCGTAGCTCGAACAAATTTTTCCATGCCCGTAGAGTAAGAAAAAAAATGTAAAAAATTTGGATAAAATTCTTTTTGCGCTTTGTATAAGGATTGCATGAAATACGGAGCTCCAAAAAATTTTTAACCAAAAAAACTAAAAACTAGAATCTTCAAGCTTCAATAGCTTTATTTTTTTATTTCCTGTACGACCATTTCTCACTGAAATACCGCCTGTTGACAATCAGCCAAAAATTTGACAAATTTTTTTGTTCCCTTAATTTTTGCGAGGAGTGTATATTATATTAACAGTTTGAATATTATTTTAAGCTGCTGTACTCGTCAAATATATTAAAACTCACTTTCAAATGGATGGAATGCAATGAATTTACAATTACATTGAATTATTTTTGCATGCGCGATAACCATTCAATTGTCTGCCTGATTTTTAACATATATTGAAATTCCAATTATATTGATATTTATACAGGAAAATGCTTATCTATGTAACTACGGTTATGATTAATATTCAATTGATTGTGAAATTTAAATCAATCAAATAAATTCTGTGAATCAATTGTGCGGTTATATTTACTAGCTTAAGCAATAAATACGCTGCAAACTAATTCATGATGGTAGAATCATTAAAAAGATTCGTCGATATTCTAGAAAAGTTCTGTCTTAAATCGCAATACTTTCCAATTCTCTTGTTTCTTCGCAAAGATGACAACCATAATAATCCTAGTAATAATAATAATAATAATAATAACTGTATTGATAATATTAATAGAAATAATAATAATAATAATAATAATAATAATAATAATAATAATAATAATAATAATATAGTCTTCCTAAAGTAAATGATCCTCATATCATACATTCTAAAAGAAATAAATAGCATGCGCTTATTTTCCGGTTTTAAATTCATTCAATGTCATCATAGGAATTTAGTAAATAAAATCAACTAAATTTTATTTTTATTACCGGTTTTTCTCTTATCAAAAATTTACGATAGTTATAATGAAAACTAGTACGTCTACTCTTATAACAATTAGCATGTCTAGACTATCCACCAAAAAAAGCATGTTTTAACTTTCATAGAAATAAAGCTTCATTTGAATTTTGTCTAAATAAAATCACGATTCAAGTACGCGAAAAAAAATGACTACGTACCCTTAAAAGTATAAGTTTACAATAAAGATAGTACTACAAATTTTAGATATATATAATTAATATTGAAAATTTTCATAAATGAAGCTGATTTGTTTATCGTGTTCTCTATAAACGCATCTATATTCATAAGGCAGGTCACTGCCATGGCCTTTAATAGTAAAGTTAAAGTAATGAAGATTTTCCAAAACTTGGCGTTGATTTTTTTGAAATAACTATTATTTCTCTTTTATCTATAAACAATAATGCTATTTAAAAACTGAATCAAACTATATTATTAAAATCAGTTTTATGAAAAAAACCAAAGTTGATTTACGGAGAATTATTATATAGAAAATCATGAATTGATAATTTTTATACTACAGTATACGTTGTAAATTGCTAACTTTGAAAACTTCTAGTTTTGTTGCTATTGCTTTTGATCAATTGTTATGAATAACAGTAACAATAATCTTTGTTTTAATCTTTAAGTTTTCACGTTTGATTACATCTAATCCATTTATTTTTTCATAACTATGCACATAGTATACATAACTGTATTAGTATTTCAAACGTACATCAGGTTCATTAATAATTCATTTCTAAAAATTAATGAGCGTTTTATTGTGAAAATTAAAACATGGATTTTTTCTTGTGGTGTGAATTGAAATGCTTTCGCATTTAAAACGGAAGAGTGCTATTTTTGTACGAAAATAAAATGTATTATATTTTTTTAACGACCATTGTTTTGGCTTTAGCACAATCGACTGATAGTCTGGGAGCAAGCTGTTGTTGTGTGTACGCATAATACGTTCAAGGATAAAAGAAATTACCTCAAATAAACTTTGAAGTCAACTCTAAATACGCCTGGAATCCAAAAAATATGATTAAAGATTTACGTGAATCAACACAAGTTTTATCTCAAATTTTACACTAAGTAAACTTACAGACAAATACAATTTGTAATTTTATAAAATAAAACTGACCATGATCCTTAAAAGTTATATTAAATTTACATACATTTTCTATTTTTAAAGATGTAAAGAAAAGATCGTGATCTAGAACCGCTAGCCTGTGTATTTTATTTTAAATTTAATATAAATCTGACGAGAAAGAAACTTGTTTGATTATTCTATCCTTTTTTATATAATTGTGGTACCCTGATTTTGCCATTTATATGATTTATATGATACTAAATTTTATGGAAAGAATTAAGTCTGCACGGATTCTTCTCCTTGTAAAATTCTAAATAAATTTTTATTGTTATTCTTATACTTCTAAAAATCTCAAATTTTAGTCACACAAAGGCACTGTCTCTGAAATCTTATTTACTTAAATAAGTTTATCCAGTGCATGATTCTGTACGTTTGAATGTATAAAAAATATTTTTTGGGTACTTTTTTAAATGTCTTTTCTAAACTTCATAAAAAAGTTGTTATGAAAAATAGAAAAATTCGCTTAAAAGTTTCCCGTTAAGTCTGAGTAGAGATCACAAGAAATCTAATCACCCAAGAAAAAATTTTTTGTTTATTCAGACATTCAGACTTACACACACCACATTTATATTTTTCAATCAAGATCTTGTAGTAGTGTAGTTAAGGTAGTGTTTTTATAGGGCACAAAATTGAAATATTTTGATTTATAAGTACAAACATTAAAAGTAATATTTATTATTTTGAAAAAGAGACAGCTCAAGTATAAATAATTTTTCACAACAAATCTCACGAAACCAGTAATAAATAAATATCTTTGCAAAATGTTCTTCATAAATCTTACGGAATCATTAAAAAATTATTATCTTTGCAACATGTTTACTAAAATTTTACTGACAAGGAGACTGATATCAGATCTATAAGACCGAATTTCACGGATCTTCAGAAAAATATATTATATCAAAAATAAAAACGCTCAAGTTAGAAGGGTTACTAAAATTAGCTATCTGTGAATACTTGTGCTTTTTAGACTTTCAAGCACTTTCAGGCAATTTGCTAAATGTCTAGTCATCAAGTAAAATGCAAATTAATAGCGTACTGCACGCTTCATAGTTAGATATTCATATATTGGCTTGGTTGAATCAGTCATCATGATAAAGTTTATACATGAAATAAATGTACAACTTAATCTTAATAAATGAAATAATTTCATTCGATTTATTTAACTTTCATTTTCATAAGTTACTGGAAGTATGAAGTTAGTTGTATACGCACAAAATACATTTCATTAAAGAAGTTTTAATGTTCACAATTTACAATTAAAAACAAAACTTAAATGCTGACCGAAATCATCATAAATACAAATGGAAAACAACAGCTTATAGAACAAATATACGCTCATTTTTCATGAACTTATATATTATATTTGATTCATTGTTAAAATTTCTTTATTTGTAGCAATAAGAAATGCCCCTACGATTATTAACATATTCAAAGAATTTTGCTAAAACTGATTTAATGAAAATAGAAATGTAAAATACATTGTTTTAATAGTGTACTTTGCATTTATACAACTACTACTTAATATTCTAATAAACAATACAGTATACAAACAGGAGTTCAAATGAACGCTCAATATAATCTTCTAATCGGTGAAATAAGCTTAGATATTTAACCCTATGCCCCGTCTTAAGTAAAATGACTGATTCAACTAGGCTAATAGAAGAATATTGGACTTTTTAGTGCGTATTGTGGTATTTGATGACATTTTATTTATTTACTACGATATATAGACACACACATACGCGCGAACACACATACACATACGTATAACATGATCTGATATAATAAAAACAATTATCTTATTCTTGGACGTATTTTTTCACACAGGAACAAAGCAAGCTCCTGGACTGAGCATATATACAAGTGAAAGAACAAGTAGATGAAACTATTGATTGGCTAAAGGACAAATAATAGATTATACAGAAAAAAGACAATGAAAATAGAATAGAGCATGGTACAGAAGATATGTTCGAGAAGATCGCAAGTGCGGGATCACAGAAGGTTATATTGGTTGAAAATCAGCTGATGCGTTTAACACTCGCTGTAGGATGGTGGTGCAAGGTTGCGAGTTGTATAAAGTTCGGTTTGAGGCTGCAAGTGACAGACAACGGTGTGTCCATCTAGAACAGCAACGGTACGTGTATGGTCATGCTGCTTCTGGACGCTTTGCTCACTTGATAAATCGAACTGGTGCTGAATCTGCCGACGGAGTTGTTTTTCAAGGACCCAAGAAGATTCTAGGCCTCGTTCTTGAGCAGGGGAGTAAGGAATGAGAGGTCGGTGGTCACCGTAACTTCGAGATGACTGTCTTGACATGTCACTTTGGCGGCGAGTTTCCTCATCCGACATATCGGCAAGCTCATAATCAGTAACGAGTTGGGATGACGGTGGCAATCCCTGCTGACAACTACGCTCAATTTCTTCATAAACAGGATCCTCATGATCTGGACGATCTGAAAAGCCATAACCATGAGCGTGTAGATGATGTAACACCATGTGGTGTTGTTGTTGCTGCTGCTGATGACGACTATCACAGATCTCAGTGTAAGTATGATTGTAGGGCGAGGCGGCACGACGACCGGTAGTGGCGCGTGACCCTGCTTCAAGTTCTGTAATAAATCGACGCTCCCGAGACCTTAATCCATAGCTTTGGAGTGTGCTAGCTATGCCAATACTATAATGGCTAGCTTGACCTGCTATATGCTCAATGTCTTCCTCTTTCTCCAAAACTTCGTGATTTAATCCCCGTGAATATGACTTAAAAGATGTGCTCTGCAATTAAAAAAAATAAAACATCAAAATAGATTTATTTAATACCTATCAGGTTATAAATATGTTTCTTTGCATAAATAATTATAAGTAGAATTTAGTTACGTCGATATTATAAAGGATCAAGTATTAGTAAAAACTTCAAGAAATTTTAATATTGAGCTTATTTTGTTATTAAAGTTAAAGTAACTTTACGAAAGTCATGATATTCTTCTTTAACAATCATAAGTAATGATATTTATTTATTAGCAAGTATTTTATGATACGGTACATAAAGGTTGAATTATACCATTTTACGCCATACGTATAATTGGACTGTGCCTTTCGTTGTAAAGTTAAAAAATGTATATGCATTTCATTTGTAGAATTTCTTCCAGAAATAATTTATACTTTTTTCTACTAAATCAACAAAATTTTTAGCCTAAAGTACACCCGTAACATATGTATTTTCAAATTGAATTCTCAATGGAAATTCTTATACAAGGTTTTACACAAAAACTTGCCCATTACTCCTAAGGGTTTCTATTTAGTTTGGTAGCCAATGAGAGATCTTAATCGCCTTTTGAACTTACATGAACTCTAACAATGGTTTGCTATTTACTTTTTCGGGTTGTACATGAATTCGAAATTTGGTAAGTTGTCTTAGTATCAAAAAACAATTATAAACAAAACATTTTTGAACTGCTAAAAAATAAGTTTTTGTAAAAATAAAAAATAACATCCTATTCTCTGTTCGAAGATAAAGAAATACATATTATTTATATATAAAATTTTACAATTTAAAAAATACATTGTTTGTAATTTAAAAATGTTATCAACTCCTACATAAGTAAACATTTTTTAATTAGTTAACAACAATCGAAAGCTCTAACTCGATCGAAGTGGCAATGATCAAAAGTCTTATGTCCTTTTTAGTATTGTAAAGAACAGCGTTTTAAGTGGAAAACATACTTATATAAACTGAGCCTATAAATTTATTATTAAGTTTCTAAGATTCGGAACGCATTAAAATATTTTTTCTATAAATAGCGATCGGTAAGTTGAATTAGTGAATTTTTAATCGTAATGAGAATCGCAAAATACTAAATTTCATATGATACGAATTGATAATATTATAGTAAGTTATTCAAATCAAAAAATAATAAAATGCACTCTTGTATTTTGCTTTTTTTTTAGAAAATTTACTAAGAAGGTGAGTCATTTTGGCTAGTTTTCGGCCCCTTAAATTTTTGACCATAGAAAATAATTTTTTTATTATTATTCATATTTGATAACTAATTGATTTCACAACAAACGGAACCTCTACCCTCTTCCTTCTAGTAATAATCAAGATCAATTTAATGTCAAATGCAGAAAAAGCCGTGAGAAATTATTTAGTCGTTCGGCTTAACTGGAATATATCTATACGTTTTAAGGTCGTTGAGTCCGCATATCAGATCATTTAAAGGTCAAATAAAGTAAAGAATGAAAAGTGAAATTAAGCTACCTATTATATAGGTTTCTGGTGTCGCTGACTCTAAATCTGAAGTACCCTTATGTGTATTAAATAAGGTGTAAGATTATTTGAAAGTCAATTTGATAAAATCACTTTTTGAAGATGTAAGTGAAGTCATTTTAAGATCCTCTGGAATTATCATTTTGTAAGTGAAAAATAAATTATACACTTGTAAGATGTTGCACGGATATTACATCAGTGACTGTAACCTCAAAATTATATGGTTTGGTATGCGGTAACGAAGGATATTATAGAGTACTATAAATTATAAGTAATATGAATTAGAATATGTGATACAAGTTTTTATGGAGTAATATGCATAGAATGGGATATGATGAGCTGGTTCGAAAGGAAAACAAGATTTTACAAAATGTAGTGATCAATAATATCTATTAGTATGAGGTTTTACCCGGTTTTTATCGAACAATGTGGATAAATATAGGATTGTTGGGTTAGATTCATATAGTTAATTTAATCTAGATTAATCAAGAATAACAATATAACATTTCACTTTTCATTATATAACAGATTTCGAGGTCTGTCCGGAAAGTATCGGGCCCACGTTTATATCTTCGCGCCATAGTGTTCGAGCGACCTCTACCGGACAGAAACGTCAACATTAAAGCCTCGCGAATCTATTGGTTACTTACTGACACCTGCCGGACGTATAGTTCATGCGCAGCGTGTCTTTGTTTGCAGTGCCTTTTTCGCGTTCGTCGGATTTTGATATTGTCAAAAATGACTGAAAAACAAGATCAACAAATTTGCATCAAATTTTGCTTTCAACTCGGAAAAACGAGTTTGGAAACTATTGAAATGATGCAAAAGGCCTTCGGAAGCGAGTGTATGAGCAAAACACGAATGAAAGAGTGGTATAAACGGTTCAAGGATGGGGGCACTTCTGTCGATAGTGATTCTCGTTCCGGCTGACCTTCGACGACAAAAATTGCAGATAATATTGAGCGGGTGCGACTTGCAATCAAACAAGATCGTCGTGTGACTGTGCGAGAACTAGAAGAAGACCTTGGGATACCAAAAACTATCATTTCAGAAATTTTAACCGAAAATTTAGGAATGAAACGCGTGTGTGCGAAATTCATCCCAAAATTGCTCAAAGCAGAGCAGAAGAACATTCGCTTAGAAATCGCTCTGGTCAATCTGGAAATGGTCAATAATGATGATAATGTGATTAGAAAAGTTATTACAGGTGATGAATCATAGGTTTATGGTTATGATCCTGAAACAAAACAACAATCTTCACAGTGGAAGCATTCTGAATCGCCAAGACCAAAAAAAGGACGTCAAAGTCAGAGCAATGTTAAGTCGATGTTGATTGTTTTTTTCGATTGTGAAGGTGTTGTCATCACGAATATGCACCAACAGGTCAGACAATCAATAAAGAATACTACGTTCAAATTTTGAAACGTTTGCGTGATGCAGTAAGAAGAAAACGGCCGCACATTTGGGAAAGTGATGACTAGCTTCTTCATCACGATAATGCGCCAGCGCATTCATCCAATCTTGTGCAGCAGTTTTTGAGCAAACACAATATCGCATTGCTTCGACAACTTCCATACAGTCCCGACATAGCCCCTTATGACTTTTGGCTGTTTCCAAAACTAAAAAAACCACTCAAAGGACACCGATTCGATGACAAAACAACGGTTGAAAACAATGCGACGAGTGTACTTAAGACTATCCCTAAAAGTGAGTTCCATGACTGTTTAGAAAAGTGGAAACATCGATGGAACCGTGTTATTCAATCAAGTGGGGATTACTTTGAAGGATGCTACCCACCAGATGATAAAGAATAACGCTAGCACGAAAATATAAAGGTAGGTCCGATACTTTCCGGACAGAGCTCGTATGTACAATTAGATAGGTCTTTAATTGGGCTCCAATCTATCTAATAAAGTAATTTTTCTCAAATCTACCTTAAAATAATCTTAAATCAGATTTTATATATATATTTTTTATCAGTGACTGTAAGAGCCGTAATTACAATGAATCGCATGGTTTTTATTACCATGACCTTAGAAGAACAAACAGACCTTATATTCGGACTCAGAGACCATAAAAAGTTACATAACAGGTAGATCAACTTTTTTGTTTGGCTTTTCCTCTACTCAATCTTGAAATAGCATTAAAATAATATTCCAATGAGCTAATATAGAAATCTATACAATACAGGTTTGACTTGATCTTCATATGACTTTCAGGTATTCTGACACAGCCAAGATTACCTCGTATTCGAACTTGACGACCCTAAAAACTTATAGATATATTCCATTTAAGCCGAATAACCAAATACTTTCTCGCAACTTTTTCTACATTTGACAATGAAATGACCTTGATTATTACTAGGAGGAAGAGAGGAGAAGTTCTGTTTGTTGTGGAATCGATTAGTTATTAATATAGATGATAATAAAAAAATTTATTTCAATGGTCAAAAATATATGGGGCCGAAAACCGGTCAAAATGATCTTCTTCCTTTTACTTACAGATAAGAGATACAACATTTTTTCTAAATAAGTGTGTGAATTTTCTTCGTAGAGATCAATCGATGATACTCGATAAAATTTCAAAGTGATCGTACAAAATGTAATTAATTTATAGTCAACACTACAAGGGTCATAGGCCTAATAGTTACGTGAAATACGAACATCGGATTTCCGATTGGATAAGGGTAAGAATCAAAATCTTAGATACACTTTTAGCTCGTAAGGAATTTATACCTTAAGAGCGTTGAGACTATAAGATTTTGTAAAAAGAGGAGACAGTGTGGTATAAATCACTTAATCAAAAAAGTTTATGATTGACTGTTTGAGCTGAATTTATTTATAATTTTCGTACCCAACTGAAGCTACATTTTTCCAAGTTGTTTTCTCGAAATTTTCAAGCTTTCTTATTTTAAAAAAGTCTACATAATATTTTCTGATTAACAACGTGGAGAAAATGATTAAAATAAATTTGTATGATTAATTATAAACGTTAAAAAACGTTAAACTTGTATCAATTGTATAACAAGAATTTTCTGTTACATTTTTGACTTTTCACTTCATGAAATCACGTAAATGTTACCTAACATTTTATTAAAAATTAGTATCAATTTAATTGTAAAATAACAAATTACAACAAATTTTATGTTCTTGCTGTTTGGATATAAATATATTTATATTTCCATATAAATCCAAAAATATTCATTAATGATATTGTTTGAATTAAATTGTCTAATTATCTACCCAAATTAATTTTTGATTGAAATACATATTTGTTATTTAAATTAGAAATCCATGATCATATTACATATTAAATTTACACATCACACTTCATCCACAATAACGGTAACTTCTAAATTATTAAAATCGCCGTCGAGATCGGTAAGAGGTAAATATAAGTTCATTGTAAAATCCTGTTGATCAAGTTACCAAAAATTCAAAAAACCTGAAAGTACTACGAAATAACAAAATCAAAATGCAACTCGAAACTAAGAACATTTTATCGGGAC